TGGCCAGAGGAATGGGCTATTAGAGAAATAATCGACATGCTAGGCTCTTGGAATTTTGGCCACAACCAAATCACATCATGATGGTCCGATATCCTACAAGCAAGTCCATACTAAACCAACCTGATCCTAATCCTAAGTTACTTGAAATCACTGATCATCATGCTCTTGATATTAGCACCCCAATGACCCCAGCAATTAGAGCCGTCGGATCTCCCAGTACAGCAGATACAACAGATTGGACAGCCGTACCAGCCATCTCACAGCACCTCTTCATCTTACCCTTGCTCTTGTTGTGATGTGTCTGAAGAGTATTCTTAAGACTAGGAATTCTTGTCTCCAGTTTGGTCCCTTTCCCACGTCCAAAATACAGTTCATGCCAACTCTCCACCAGCATTTCCTTCACACAAGCAACATGTAGATTGTACTTCTTACAGGAAGACCTATAACTCCAGCTTCTTCCTTTCCGGCCGCACCTATGACACGACGCACTCACTTTCCTGTAGAGATATAGCTTGATTTCGCCATCACTGAGCATCATTGGGAGCTTGGCACAGCACGGGTGAAGGTCGAAACCGCACGCCTTGCAGTGGTAAATAAACCCAGTGACATCCTTCTCGCAGGCATTGCAGAACCGGGGAGTGTTGCCGGGCTGGCGAGACATGAACTGGAAGGAACACTTGGTGTAGAAAGGGTGTGAGATAGAAGGGGAAGGGATGGCACAATGCACGTGGAGGTCAAAGTCGCAGATCGTGCACTTGTAGCGAGAGCCAATACCAACCTCCTTGCAGCCATCACACTTGAATGGGAACTCTGAGTACTCAAACTTGAGTTTGTGTTGTGGGTGGCTGAAGTGAGAGATCTCATTATACTTCATGTTCAACTTTGGCTTCTTCTAAAGCACACTAATGGGGATCATATATATACTCAAGGAAAAGCTTCAAGGTAACTGTCTTTGCCTCTTTACATACATATTTCAGTCAAACCATAAACTATAAACTAATATAGATCTTCCCTCAGGGGCGAGAGAGAGAGAATTGGTTTGTAAGATTAAAAAAGAGTGGTTTAGAGTATTATTGGGGTTGTGTTTTGGCTTGAAAATGAAGCAAAAGGTGGGGAATTATATGCTTTGAGAAGGTGGTAAATTATGAGCATTGAAAGGGAATTAATCCCAGATGTGAAGAAGGCACAATCTTTGATACCCACAAAGCATATTTGGTCATACCCACCAAAAGAATATATACTAACTAGTTCCAACTAAAATTGATAGATTTTGATGTCTTTATTCTTCTTTTGATGTAATCAAGCACAGAATTTGAGATGGGTTTCACTGAAATTTGTGAGCATTGCAGCCTTGAGAGGGTTGATTATGGATATGGCTTTGTTAAATTGCAAGATAAGATTTGAATATGTGGGGAATATTAGGCAATTTACAAGATTTGGATAATGCAAAGCCATTAGCCCTAGTTTATTCCTCAATATTAAACAATGAATGTTTTGGATTTTTGTTGAATACTTCTATTATAATAGTTTTAGTTAGTGAATTTTGTCACTTTTAGTGTTTTGGTTTGTGCTTTTAAAAACGGATTGATCCCATTTCTATGATGTTAATTTTATGTTATATGTATATATATTTTTAATACAACAAATTGGGACCATGGAGGTCCGAACCTTTGACCTCAAGTGAAAGAGTAGATACTCGTTGAACTATGCTAATGCTGGTGTTAATTATATGCTCTATAGTTTAAATAATCTGGTAAAATTGATATTACGTCACATGAAAGATGGCTTGACATTCTGACATGTCGTAATTACTATGTGGCTCAAATTGTCCTATTTCTCAACAATATAACTTGAGAATGAAACAATTATTTCTGAAAAGTCACATGACCCTTTAATGGCCAAACAAGTAAATTACTCGAATGGTATGGTTAGCTAAAGTAGGTCTTTGCTTGCCATGCACACGAAGACTAAGCTATGCAACTTTTGTCATACGTTGGAGCACACGTAGAGCCTTGCAACTCACGCTTCTTGATTTAGACCTCAGGTTGATCCTCCTACCTGTCTTGTACCGTGCAAATCTAGGAGAGAATCTTGGGCGAACGAATCAATCTCACAACACATTCCAAATGTAACAATAGCCATCTCTCTCTTATTATGAGTGTTTTCCCCAACGTAACATATTTGTGTCCTTTCTACGTATCTCCATTTTGCTAAATTGATTATCACCTCTAACTTGAACATTAAAGTGTCTTTGGTCTATATAGATTATCTCAGTAGCTTTTATTACTTTGTAAGTTATCGAATGTTGAAAATAGATCTCAAGCCTCTACAATCCCTACATGTTGCACCATGGTCAATTATCACATAATTCCATGACAGCTAATTATTTTTTTCTACTATTTAACCACACTTTAACATGATATGTTTACAAAAGTACAAAGACTAAAATTGAATAACAAAAAGATGCAAAAAGTGACAAATTATAAGAGTTAGATCATAACCAATTTTTTTTCCCTCAACATTGTGTTTAACATCATCTTTTATTTTTGGCCTTGGAACAAGATCTTGGGAACATATTTTAACTTTAGAATGTGAGAAGTTTCAAATGGGTAAGATGGAATATTAAAATTATAGTCTATTACATTAGTTCATTAGTTAATATTATCCATTTGGATATAATGACACAAAAAATTCCATCCTAGAAGCTAGAAATTGAAGTCAATAGTTTGAACATTCCAACTTTTATAAAGAAGAAATTGAAACGACACGTAGTTCAGGCATAACTTAAGGCATCAAAATTAAGAGCGATGAGATGATACTGTATTGTCAGGATTTTTTTAAAGGAAATGTGGAAATTCTTATTCCAAAACAAAGTTTTTTTTTCCTACTTTGTTTATTTAAATTATAAAAAATGAGAAAGATTATCCAATTGAAATGGTATTTTAGAGTAAGGAAGAATAGATTCCATAATTATATGAATGTCAATTTTTAATTTTGACATAAAGATAAAAGGTGAGGTTGGATTATTCACAATCAATTTTGTTCTCAATGCAACTTGATACATTATATATCCTTTTGGAGACAATCTCCACTATTTGTTGCGTCTACTTTACCCTTTTGTCCTCATAATATTATTAATCTTTTATTAGGAAATTTTCTAGTTGATCGTTTTAATCGTTATTTGTCTTTTTGTTTTTTAAGAAAGTTTTTTTTTTCACCCCTATACTTGGCTTGGTGAGTTATTTTTAACTTTTAATTCTTCAAATAGAACAAGTAAATTTATACCATGTGATGCCTCAAAATTATTTGTGGTTAGCTATAAACATTATTGTGACTAGACAAAATTGCTTTTGGGTACTAATTCTTACAGCGTGTGGGATACTTTTTGGTTAGATTTAGATATTTTATTACTTTGTTCGAGTGTTTGATCGTGAGTGGTCAATTGAATTTTGCGAATTTATAAGGATTTTTCTAATTTAGTTTTGAAGAGGTTCAAATTCAATGTTGAATTTAATGGATTTAAAATTTTAGGGTTAAAAAAATTAAATGTTATTTGAAGATACATCTCTTTCACCTGTTATGGGAAAGAGATTATTCTTCTTTTATTAACTTAAATTATCATAAAATTTCATCTCTCCCTAATGAAAAATCTTCTAGTGTGGGGGTGGAGATTCGAAGCTTTGATTTTTTATCAAGAATATATGTCTTAACCAATTAAACTATATTCCGATTGATAGAGTAGTTTCATATTTCTAACGAATAAATATTGAATATGTTGTCCAGCACTAATTAATTAAACTAAAACCTTATAATTCCAACCTACTTGAATGTTAAGATAATTATTATTGTTCGAATTTAAAGAATTAGAGATGTATTAATTCAAAAGATAAGAATACTATTGGTGAATTTTGAAAATAGCCAAACATATTAGTACATACCATAATAGTGAATTATCACAATTTAAAATTTGAAAATATTTAATTTTTATCTAATTTCCTCTTGATTCTCTGTTTATAAAAAGAGTTGAATGTGTGGTTGAGAAGTTATTGAGGCACAAACAAACCAATGGCATAGATGAGACCAATATTGCTTTTTATCTCTCTAAGCTGATTTTAAAGGTAGTTTTTGTTTTAGTTTTCTTTTTTCATTGAAAGGAACATGTGAAAGAACATTCTATACAAGTGATCTCCAAGTATGGAGATGCCCACATTCAGTACTTTTGGTTCTACCAACCATGAATTTTGTGGGAATCAAATACACTTACCCTTTTCATGTTTTCCATACAATTATCAATCGTCGATTCCCATCTCTCTCAACTTGTAGACTTGACCTAAGAATCTATGCTAATGTTTCAAACAATCGACAATCGACAATCGACAATCAAAGCTAGCTAGCCAAACTGATCCCTTGTAGTTTTGAGTACTTCTATGTGAGGCTGCAGCCGAGGGATCCCTAAGCTAGGTATGACTAGGTAGAGACGTGTCTTCGTATGAATCGAGTCATGTCGGGGCTTAAGTGTATCATGATGTGCATGGGGATGTCGTGGTTTTGGTTCAACTTCAACCAGGAGTTAGCTATGCCAAGTTGATGAGTGAGATATACCCAGCTTGTCTGCTCTCACCCATTGTTTGGCTGAATCTAAGAAGTGTGTCAAACATACAAACTCCAACTAATGGTTGATAAGTGCAAACTTTTGAAATTCTACAACAAAAATTGATAAGGTTTTGAATACAGTTCTCCTCTGCATCAAAGTTTTAAGAACCTGTTTCCTAGACTCAGAACTTTGAACAAATACCACCTTAAAATACATTTAAAGCATAGCAGCTCAATCCCTTGCTGCTGGTTTTCAATTTTCGAGCTCGGGCGCTCATGCCCCTTGACCACCCTTATAGGTATTTTTATTTGTCCAACTATTCAGATCAATCCTATGTTTGCTAGCAGTAATATTGGCCATGAAGCTGTAGATCATGAAGAAATCTCAAGAAACCACCACAAAATGTGGATTACCTTTAACGGATTTGAAGAAAAACATAAATGACTTTACAAACTAACCTAATTTTCGTGATAATACAAGATATTTAATCTCAAGAATGTATCAGAAATAAGTTTAACGCACCTCTAGTTTTTATGGGAACTTTGGTCTGATCAGCTGCAATACTGCCATCAGAAGATGAAGATACAATGTGGATGCAATTCCCCTTCTCAACTCAGCTGGATTTCAAGTAATTCCTTCCTCAACTTCTCGACCATTTCTTCATTTCCTTCGTTCGTATAAGCATCGATAAAAGAACGGTAAACCTTCGAATCTGGCTTAAAGCCTTTCCCTACCATCTGCGCCTGAAGCTTAAATGCAGCTTCAATTTCCCCTTCCCGACACAAACCATTTATCAGAAGTTCGTAAGTTTCCATTGTTGGGCAAAAGTTGGAGTCCTCTGTGGTGAACCCAAAAACATCTAAAGCTTCTAAAAGTCTAGTCTCGGCAACCAATCCTCTAACAATCGCTTCCAACGTCGATGCGTTCAGACTAAAATTTTTCCTCCGCATATCCTTATACACCAGTAATGCAGAGTCAATATCTCCAGTTTCACAATAGCCATTGATGAGATGCTCAAAGGTGGAGAAAGTACTCTCTATTCCACTCAGTTCCATTTCTCTGAAAAGCTCTTCAGCTCTCTGAATACTTCCTGCTTTACAAAACCCTCCAATTATAGTGTTATAAGCTACAGCATCAAGCTCCAACTTCTTCAATCTCATTTCTTTCCACAACTCCTCTGCTTCAACCATTCTTCTTTGATCACAGAAAACCGTCATTAGAATACTATAACTGTAACTGTTCGGAATCGAATTTGACTCGGTTAATTGATCCCATATCTCCTTCACCCGCCCCACCAATCCATCTTGATAAAAACACATCATTAATGTATTAAAAGAATGTACATTGGGACTAGCCTGAGCCTTCATTTTCACACGTTCTTCCTTGACTTCACAATCTAAACCAAAAACCTCTCTAAAAATAGCATAACCCGCGTTAGCCCCCTCGCACTTCGACACCCACAAAATCAACGAATTCAATGTACTAACCTGCGGGCTAATCCCACGAGACCTTAACATTCTAATAATTTGAATGGCCGGCTCGAGCTTTCTAGAATCCAGGAGAGCTTTAATCAATAAATCAAACACGAAGGGAGCAGAACCACACCGTTTATACGTCTTGACGAGAGTCTGAAACAGCCTCAAAGGCCTAGAAAATTGCTTACAATTGGAACAGCCATCGTCGTCTTCGAGCTCCGCAGCCCTAATGGCGGTCTGAATAACGGCCTTGGCGTGAGTTCTGAGGCGACCGCGGGCAAGGATGTGGATGACGGTTGAGTAGGAAACGAGATTGTGAGTGCAGAGGGACTTGTTCTGAGTCCAGAGAAAGAATCGAAGGGAGAGATGGGGATTGTTCTTGATGTGGAGGACGATATCGGAAAACTCGCCGGGATCGAAGCCGTCGGGGCAGAGGGAGTTGAGGAATCGCCAGCGGGATTTTGAGCGGTGGTGAGTGAGAACTGAAACCACGGTCGAGATCGAGGGTTTTGCCGACGGCGAGGAAGAGGAGAATGAAGGGGAAAATGGGAGCTTAAATCCTGGGTTTCGGATTGACGACAGGGTTCGTTTCAGCAGAGGGATGGACATCGAACTCCAAGAGGATGAACAGAAATGTCAATTTTCGACCAAAAAACTAAAAAGCTTAATTTTTTTGGGTTTTGTTTTAAATAAATTTATTAATTGAGCCCTACAATGAAGTAATTTATAAAATTAAACTAATTTCTCGATTACTTTTAAGTCTAAATCCTATAACTTTCAGATAAATCCTATAACTTTCAGATCCATAACCTAATATACCATTTAATCTTTAAATTTTAGTCGGTAAGGTAATGATTTAATCTATGTAATTATCAATATCATAAAAAAAATTATTAAAATTAAGTGTCGATATTTTTTTCAAAGGAAAGTTTCAAATTTTATCGTATAACAATTTAATCTTTTTAATTAATAAATATATTCGTTCCCTCCTTAATTTATAATTCATATATATAAAAAATTTAATAAAGAAATTTCATGATAAGTACTAAATGACTAAATCGATATCCATTTGAAAGAACAAGAACTAAATCGTTACAAACTAAAGTTCAATGACTAAATTGTTACTTCGAAGAAAAGTGTTTTTTTAGCCTTTCAAATATATATATTAACATGTAAATGGATATTACGTAGAAAAATAATTAAAATGGGATCAACTATTTGAAAGTTTAAAAGCTAAAACAACTATTTTTTAAAGTTCAGGAAATAAAATAGATACTGGAACAAATTTGAACAACTATTTTTGTATTTTGCAGGGAAAAAAAAGGATAAGATTGTAAATTTCCATCTAACACTTATATTGTTCTAAGTCTATAGATAATTTAGATCCTGAACATTATGTTGAAAAAAAAAACCACAAGCTTCTGCAAATTAGAGCTTGAAGCTACAAAAACCAGAGATTATAAGGATGGAAGTAACCATAGATTTAAAAGGGAAGAAGCAAAAGACAAAAACCATGACAAGAAGGCCATGGCAGCAGATATTTGATATCTTCTGCACAGCTTTAACGGGCAATACGAACTGTTCGAGTGAAGAAGAAGATCGACGACACTCGCAGTCGAGCAAGCAGCAGCTAGTGTGAGGAGTGACAGGACCTGTTCTCCAAGCAAACGTTTTTCAAAACAAAAACTCAGGCATCCTAAATCCGAAAGTTTAATGTAGTTCGAGAGGTGTACTTACCCAATCTCCGATGACGATGATCACGAGTATTCCGGGCTGTCGAAGAGGACATTTTACGAGAACAGAGTAGCCATCAACCATCGCCAAGGTGAAGCTCCAGGGTATGACCAAACCCATCACTGTCACAAGGTAGCTGCAAATGGCATCCAGCAATGGGAAGGTCATCATCAAAAGCAAAAGGCTAGGATACCCAAAAGATAAACAGTATGATAAACAAATAGACGGGCAATATCGAATCATTTCGCATCGTGCACAACGTGTTTAACAGCCAACTTGATTGCCATGCTAAGTTGATACTTGATAGATATTTGTGCAGAGTTATTTTGTGAACTTTATCGATTTTATTTCGATGCGCTCGGCTCGTTCTCTTTATCGATTTCTCCGATGATAGATAAATCTCAATTGTACTGAGTGAATGAGACATAAAACTCATACCGAATAGAGGAAAAGGTTGGAGAGAAAGAGAAACAAAAAAACATTCTGGCAAACATGACAATCAAACAATGTTAAATTATAAACGTAGTGCCTAAACTTTAAACATTTTGTATATCTAGTCACTAGATTACAAAGCGTTTTCAATTACCTTCCTAAATCTGATTCATACTTCTACTCGGACCACGGTGCAGTCGCCGATATGACATGTATTTTAGTCCTTAGATTTTAAAAAGTTTTCAATCACCTACCTAAATTTGAATTATACTTCTACTCAATCGATACTCGATCAATGCATGCTACGCCGATGCATTCGATTAGTTTTGGTTGAATTGACATGATCCGACAAATATAGACTAAAACATGTATCAAATTGATATATAACTTAATCAATAAAGAACTAAATAAACCCATAGGCTCAAAGTTCCAAAACGAAATATATAATTTAACCAATAATCAATCCACTAGTATGTGTGTATGCTATCATTAACGAAACATGTTTTATTGAAAATGACATTCAAAAGCTTTCACAGATCCCCAACTGCTCCAAGTTGAACACCAATTTGGCCACAAAAGGAATAAAGATCAAATTCCCCTCATCCATCACAAGAACATAACCACAAATCCCCATCAACACTTAATTTCAGATTTCGAAAGATACAATTACTCAATCTTTTGGGGGATCCAAAACAAACATCCAACAAAAGACCCACAGAAATGGGATCAAAATCATCCAGATCAAGAAGAATCAGAGAGAGAGAGAGATGGAAAAGAGCGTCACCAGAAAGCGGTGTAGCTGTAGAATTCAACACCCAAGGACATGAAAAGAAGGGAGGCGGTGGAGAATACGGTCTGCCCCAATCTGAGGGAGAAGCTGGCGCTGGTGCCCACCGATCCAGGAACCTCTTCCATGGCGTCGCCGCTGCTGCATGCGAACCCTAATTCTGCAAATTACCCATTTCTCCCTCCCCTTGAAACCGCTCATCTTACTCACTCAATGCTCAACCATAGCCGCGCCCCCACCCGGATCAACAGATTCGATTCTCAGAATTTTGGGGTCCGATGGGTGGCCGCCGGAGGAGAAGAGTTTTCCGGTAGGATGGGTTTGAAATTGGAATCCGTGGGCAGAGGGGAGATGGTTAGAAGAATATTGTTGGACGGAGAATGGAATTTGGGAGTTTCTTGATTGTGGGTGCCATTTCTCACAGCTTCTCAACAAAATCAACACAAGAATTTGGGCAGGCGTCGCGTTACTGCTTTGTTTCTGTCCAATGTCTCACCGTTTCGTTTTTTATTTTTATTATTATTATTTTTTTACACGGTGATCAAACTCACAAAATTTTTTTTTTTAGATATCGATAACCGTCGAATTAAACTGTTTTTTTTATAAAAATTTTAGTACACCAATTCGAGGACATGGAAGATGAACCTCCAATTTCGAAGGGAAGAAATATATGTCAATGAACTCGTGACTTCTTGGAGATATATATAAATTACCATTGAACTATCCTCGTTTTGATATCCAATCTAATACATGTTTGTGTCAACATATTATTATATATATACTTCAAGCGATAATATGTATATGTTAACAATAAATAAAGATGAAGACCAAAATAATTAGACATCAAAATAAAATAAGTTTGACTGTTAAAAATCGAAACAGACAAATCTTAAAGCTTATAAATCAAAATTACATTTAAACTCAAATTGTACGACTCCACTTTGTTCGAAAGCATCTTTTTTTAGGCGCACATAGAACATATATCAATTGATGCAGTCAAATCAAAAGCTTTCTCCCAAAGCATCTTGTTTATGTCAAAATGGAAGAACTGTTTTACCTTTTGATGGATTGATTGACATTGAGAATAAAGACAGAACCAGATGATCATTTGTCAAAACGAGTGCTCCAATGTTAGAAAATGGTGAGCCAAATGCTTTTGAGTGAAGGGTTGTGGATTGCCCCATCTCTAAAAGATGGAAAATTATGAGATTTTAATATTATAATATATTATTAGGAGAATTTGGAGCCATGGTTGATAGTGTTTTTTTATTATGCATCTCGGCATAAATTAGGTGCTAGACAGATAGATGGACTCCTTCTCCGGTCGCTCCTAAGGGAGAGTAAGAAAAAAAAAAGTCAAATGATTGTTTTTTAACTAGCACTCCATTTCTTTTCGTTTGGGCATAACTCAATTAGTTAAGATAAATCTTTGATCAAACCACCAACCTAAATTTATTGAATAATTATTCAGAGGAGGCAGAGTAAAAGGAAAAGGAAATGAAAAAGAAATAAACAATAACTCATGGAATCTGTCGGCAGCAATTCATTGGTGATCTTATGTTTGGTCTCCATTTTAATAATGTATTGGTGAGTACCTTTGCCTTGCCACCATCCATTTAGTGGAATTCATTGATGCGTATTCATTTTATTTTTGCAACATTTTAATATTTATTAAAGCGAAAGGGTGAGGGAGTAGCCAAGTTACCGATATGTCGATGACGGATATTTGAGTAAAAATCATAGAAATTAGGAAAATTAAGATAAATTATTTTAATTAGTAAATAAAATTTTAATTGTGGCTTAATTAAGCTATAAAAATTGATCACTTTGAACTACCATACGAAAAAATTGAGTAACTTACCTATGAAAATATCTATGTCGATAAAAATGTCGAAACAAAATACTGAACATCTTCAATTTAATAATGTATATTTAGTTACATAATTGAACAAAATAATAATTAAATTGAGTTATTAGAAATGGAAGAATAGATTTGGAAATTTTGTAATTAAATTTGAAAAGGTGAAATTAGATTAAAATAAAATCAAAAAACAAACCACAATATAACAAAATATGAAAAAATGTTAGACACCAAATTTTTTAGAGATAATGTCTTGGATGATCTATTTTGGAAATTTATTTTCAAATGTCCTATATTTACAAATTTTACCGTTTTAGATTTTTGGATTTAAAATTTTTCTAATTGCTAAATTTACCCTTATTTATGACATTTTTATTTATTATAATTAATCTTTTATTTAAATGCAAAAGATTAATATTCCAAATTTGATCGTGTAAGGACCTAAATCAATCATTCTTATAATCTTCTAATTTACTCCTTAATATATTATACTATAGAATAAAATTTATTACAAAATATACAATTATTCTGATAATCCCCAAATTTACTCCTTAATATATTTTACTAAATAATGAAATTTATTACAAAATATTTTTCATTTCATTACAATTTTTAGCCAAATTTCAATAATATAGTCAATAACATACACTTATATGCATATATATATATATATATGGAGATATAAACTATATCCATCTACCTTTTCATTTATATGGAAATATAAACTATATCCGGTAAGCAATAACATACACTTAACAATGGTGATATAAACTATAGTCATTATAACATAGACTTATATGGAGATATAACTATATCTGGTTATAAAGTATGTACGACTATATCCCTTCATAATTAACAAACAAAGGAAATAACCTACAAACCTTTTGGTTGACGACTAGACAATGTCGGGATAAACAGAGGGCTCGAATGGTTGACGGGCAGTCGGTGACAAAAAAGAAGCATCGGGATAAATAGACGGAAACAATAAACAGGCGGCCGGAGACGAAGGAGAAGTTAGACGGATTGTTCCAACGACGAAGAAGAACAAAGACGAAGGAATGCAGACGACGATCGGAGATGAAAGAATGGACGGAAACAAAACGATAAAGGAAGAAGAAAAGTTGGAGGAATGAGATTTTCAAATTTTTTTCAATAATGGAGGATTTTGGAGATTTGGTATTTTTTACCTTTGGAAAGTCTAATTAGACAAAATTTAAGGAGTTTAAAATGTAACATCTTAGAAGTAACCAATTTTGGATTTTAAAAATTAATTAATATTGAGGTGAGATACAAAAAGATATATTAGTAAATTGGTTGATGGGTGTGATTGTTTCATGACAAAAATGTAAATTTTATACCACTCAATCATTTTATATAATTATAGTCTCTAAATAAACTGATCCTTATTTTATTTTACCTGATTTTTAGTTGGGGGAGTTTAGTTTGCTATTTGGGCTTTTGGGCCTTTTTAAGACCATTGATCTGCTAGCTGCTTTTACCTATTGTAATGGGCCTATTTAAAGGCCTGTTTCTGTATATTTTGGGTCATTCTTTTTTTCCCCCTTTTTTTTAGTCATCCGTTGATATATAGAGAATCAAATATTATTAGTAGGCTATTTCATTTATATTGTGTCCTAGGAATATTCTGATTCTTATGTATTATATTTTTTTTTCCCTTCAAAAGGAATTTAGGTTCTATTTCTTCATTTTTAATAAAGAAAGAATTGTATGGCCCAACACCCATAGGTTAAAAAATATCAAAGATTATTTATATTTATGTATGGTAATAAATTGGAAAGAGAACAAAGAAACAATTTCCATACAATTTTGAGAATGTTTCAAAAAAAAAACAAGAAATATAATTAGTTGTAAAATAAGTTTCTTAATAAAATTTGAAAAGAAACGTTACCAAACCAACCTTTAATCTTCATCCTAATCCTAATCTGATTGGGGTTTAATAAGTAATTAATTTAATTATAAACGGTTGGCCCATTCTGATTTAAATAGTTCCTTCCTCTTTAGCCTTTCCCTTCGTCAATTCAAATTTCGCTCTCTTTTTCGCGCCACAGAACCAGAATCAGGTATCTCTGCGATTTCTTTTTACAGCTTTCTTCAAAACATATTCATCTAATCAAACTGTCTTTTCTGTTTCTGCTGAAATAYTTTTCGATTGATTCATCGATTTCTGTATTATGTTCGGAGGATCGATCTTGAAACCATTGATTCATCGATTTCTGTATTCTGCGATCAGAACTGAACGGAGGATCGATCTTGAAACGACAGCGTTTCTCTTCTGGGGTTTCGAATTTTATGTGATCTATATTTTCTAACTTAGGGTTTTCAAAGATGATTTTGGCATATTTTCAAGAGACGGGGTTTGTTTTCTCCGATTTGGGTATTTTCTAAGCAGCCATTTTGATTCTCTGTTTGGCTGATTTCTTTGCTGGATGTCTCAAATTGAGATTAAAATTCTTTTTGCAGCCATTGATTGTGTGAAATCGCTTTGAATTAGTGTTCTTATGTTCTTTCTTTCAGGGAACTGGGAAGGATTTAGTGAGCCATATCAAGGGATACTTAGATTTGAGTTGAGATGAGGAAAGCAAATCAAAATTCTAACCCAATAAAAGGAGAACAAGCTTACTCCAGCGATGTATGTACTGTTTCTTCTCTTCCATAGAATTCTTTTTCTAACAATTTTATTCCTACTGTGAAAAATTTTGGGAATATGAAATATGATCTTTAGTATGCAGTGATTTTTATAGTTTACAAATACATTTGATCTCTAAACAACATATATGCTTAAGTAAAATCATTACTTTTAATGGAAGAATGGGGAATCAAAGATGTATTTGTATGCTATAAAAATCATTACTTTAATGGAAGGATGGGGAATCATAAACAAACCCATGAATTCAAGTTTTATTCGCCTTTATTTAGGGTCTATTGGATAACTTTCCGTTTTTTATTTTTGTTTCTTCTTTTTAATAAAGAAAAATAGAATTACACTGCCTTAATGCTTATTAATTCAAGAATGATAAAAAAATGTTTTGGAACAAATTAGATACGAGAACAAGAAACAAAAAACTTGGGCCTGGTAACATTTTTATTTCTTATTTTTATTTCCTCATTTTTAATCAAAGAAAAATATAATTGCATAGGCCAACACTCATGAATTCAAGGATGATCAAATAATATTTATATTTATGTTTTGTAACAAATTGGAAACGAAAAGAATAAACAAGAAACTTGTTTTGATTATTTCCAAAATTTCAATACGATGGTGAGAATGCTTCTAAAAAATGAGAAATAAGAAATATAATTAGTTGCAAAATGTTTAAGATTCGTAATAAAATAAAATTGGAAATGAGAAATAAAAAACATGAACGTTACTAAACGAGTCATTGTTTTTGTGGTTTCCAAAATTTCTATATATTTTTTAGAACGTTTCTAAGACATGTGGAACAAGAAACGTAATAGTTACAAAATGCTTAAATTTCTTAATAAATAAAATCGACATCAAACGGACTTTTTAACTTTTTACCTAGATTTCATTGGAGGGGTGAGTTTAGTCTTTTGTTTGCAATTTGGGCCTTTTTTTTTAAGCCTATTGATCTGCTAGCTGCTTTTACATACTGTAATGGGCCTTATTTAAAGGCCGGTTTCTGTATATTTTGGATCATTCTCTTCCCTTTTTTTCTTTTTTTTTTTCCCTTCTTTTTGTGTTTATTTTTTATAGAGATATAGAAAATCAAACATTCAGAATACATTTTTATAGTTCATTTCATTTATATAGTTTATTAGTATTCTTAAGAATATTCTGATTCTTATGCAATAGAATTATTTTAATTAGGATATTAGGCCATATAGTTATTAATTAACTCATGGTTATTCATATATGAAATATTTTTTTGCATTATGGCTATAAAATTTTATGCTTTTTTTTTTCTCTTCTCCAGGATTCTTCAACGTCTGAGGAGCAAATATCAAGTCTCACTTCTTTAGATGGTTAGATTTATGATGAATTCAATTTCTTCTATTCTTCATAAAGAAAAAAAAATGCTAACTTACTCTTGTGTTATGCTTTAAAAATGTGTTAATGGACCAGAGAACGTTTCCTCCTCCCAAGATGATCGTAGCCACGATGATTTGAAGTTTCAAAAGTTTAAACTAAGCTTAAGATCAAATGTGATTTTGGAGGTCGGTACATTTAGATATAACAAAAGACAAAAACCTGAAAAGGGGAGCGTAAATTGATACTTGATAAAATGATGTATGAGTAAAAAGAATCCTAGAACCTGATTGAGTCTTCTAGGTTCTTAGTTTATTGTGATATATAATATAATCTTTGTTACGTCTATAGAAAATTCAAATTTTCTAGTTTCTCACCTCCATTAAAGAACCATGTATATGACTTTTGAAATACTTATTGTTTTGGTAGGACTACGAAGAAATAAGAAATGAGAAGAGGAAGCAAGCCAATCGAGCTAAGAGGTCGAGATTGCGCAAACAAGTATATGATATCTATGATACATAGTTTATATACCATAATCTGTTGACTTACATTGTTGAAGTTGCTCACGATATTGGTTTTGCTCTTGAACTTTTAAACTTGTAGAAAGAAATGAAAGAATTGGAAGCAATAACGAACACACTAAGGGAAGAAATTTCGATTCTTACAATGCAAATGAAAACACTTTTAGAGGACTGCGTGGCACTCATGGAGGAGAACGCTTCTTTAATGGTTCATCCATTCCTACTTTTCACACTATTACTTTTGTTTCATTAATGTTCATAATAATATCAACGTTAGTTCATTTTTGTGTTACTATCAGCTAACAAAATTATCGTGTGAAACTTCTTGATTTGAATTATTTTTTGTCCATCCGGCTTTAACTCTCTATCTCACTCGTAGTAACATTATTTTGTTTTGTCTCTCTCTTGCAATAGGATGAGCTAGAAAAACAGTGTGGACCAGAAGCAGTAGATGATCTCGAGACTGCAAATTCTTACAGAGGTGATAAATGAAGCAATTCCAAGTTCGTTCGGACAAAACCAAAGACACATTATCAAATAGATGGAAGCTTCAAAATTTACTTTCTATAGTCTCTCGTAGATGAACCAGAATGACAAATAGATAGAAAAATATATTAGTACACAAATTGAAAGTTGAGAGATGTATTAGACATGACTTTAAAAATTTAAAGACAATACTTGTCATTTGGAGTAATTATACTTGGATTTCATTAGAAATGTCATAACCTAAACTAAACTTTTATTATAAATATAAAAGTAATTGAATTGGAGTTATGGAAAGAAACTGAGAAATAACCAAAAGTTCCTAATTTTTTTAAAAAAATTGTTTAACTAAGGTTTTAAAATTTACTCAATGCAATAAAATTGAATTGAAAAAGGGTTACATAATTATCCAAGAGAACAATTCCAAAAGCCAAAGTTGTTGCAAGCTTATCTAAAACTTGAACCAATTAAGTCAATCCTTTCATATTAAATGTTGATCAAAATACTTGAACTACTTATATTGTATAGATTTTCTAAAATTAATCAATTCCTACATTTCTTTACTTTTAGTTCTCAAGGAAAGTCATCAAAACATTAAGAAAATTCCCATTTTCTGACATTATTATCTAAACATTAAAGAAAAATCACCATTTCTGATATTGTCACTAATTATTTTTAAATGCGCATATGATTATCCCCTAGTGTGTTAGAACTCATTCAAATTTAATGTTCAGTTTGAACAAATTAAACTCACCCACCAAATCAAAAGTACAATTATAATTAAAAAGATATAAAACTTTACTGGTCTCCACTCTCATTGGATAAGGATTATTTTTAAAAAAAAATTACCACCCTTCTTAAAAGTATATTTGAATTAGTAGTCAAATTTCAAAAATAAAAAATAAAATTTTAAGACCCTATTTGATAATTATTTGGTTTTTTGTGTATTCTTTTTAAAAAATTAAGCTTAAAAAACTCTATCAAAGAAATGATAGCAATCAAATATAATTATTTTTTTTTTCAAATAGAAAACTGAAAATCAAAAGTTCTGAAACAGTGCGAGAATAACTTAGTGGTAATTGACATATATATCCAACTAAAAAGTTGTGAGTTCGATCCCTCACCTCACATGTTGTGCTTAAAAAAAGGTTATAAAATAATACCTAATGATTCTAGTCGCCAACATGAGCTTAACTCAGTAATAATGATTACTTATATTTGATTAAGAGTTCATTAGTTCAAATTTTCCTACCATCACACATCAGTTGTTGTATTAAAAAAAAACAAATCTTATAATAAATCATTTTCAAACATGGACTAAACCTAAAATAAACAAAATTAAAGCCACAATCTTTTTGGGTAACCCACCAAACACACTTTTGGAATAATAATATTATTCCCCTTTTATGATCAGCACACTTATTTGACTCTTCAATTTGACCTCTCTCTCTAAAACTTTTCTTTTTTTCTTCTTAATTTCTCTTTATGAGCATGTGGATAGGCTGCTAGAAATAGGAAAAAGTGGGCAATGCTTATCCAAAATTATACCCTCTCTTCTCACACCACAAAATTGAAGCCCATAACCTTCACCCACTTGTTTTCATTTCAAACACAACCCTAAACCTAATTTTTCTTTTTTTCCTTTTTTTTTTCTTTTTCATTTCGACCCGTTCGACAATAATTTGTTGCAGTCGACCTCCCCACTGTGAGACGCAATAATTTTCAACTACAAGACAATCGAAATCTCTCTCATCTCGATCCCGCTCAATATATGTCGATGTCGATAAATATAATCTTCATGTCAATCGTTAGTCCGAAAGAAAACTAGCAATCATAATAGCCACATAAGTTTATAAAACTATTTGAATTAACTTGAGATTGAGATTTTGTATGTTGACTGCCATTTTATTTCTCTTGTTATCATAATATTTCGTCCTCTTCAAATTTCCAAACACGTGTATATAATTTGTGCCAAATATTTTGGTTGGCTCAGCCACTTTACACTTTTTCTCTCCAATAATTTCAAATTAGCTTTTGTGATATATAAAGAAATAATAATAATTTAAAAAATAATGCTGTGGACTTTTTTTTTTTTTTGGTCGGGTAGGTGTCTTAGTCTATAGGAATATTTTCAGAATTTTGAGCATGGGAGTTTTTGTAGTTAATACTACTCTCTACAATTTTCTTTTGAACAAAAATATATTTGATTTAATTTTTTTAAAAAATATTCAGTCTGAGCATAGGTAAAAATATTCATGAGTTTAAATCTTCACTCTCACGTGTTGTACTAAAATTATTTTTAAATAATGATAATAATAATAAAGTAAATTGAGTGCGATGAACCAATTGCGTCATAAAAATTTATTGCACTAATTTAAACCTTAATTTTTTTTTAAATACTCAACTCATACTTTGGAGTCCATTTTAACTTAAAATTTTTAATTTCTTGGACCTTAAATTTGAATAAGCAGCCAAACTTAACACCCCTTCAATTAATCAAGGGTCTAAACTTATAAAAAGAAAAAAAAAGGTTAAATTTCTATCTTTTAAAATCTTTATGGCTAATGGTGAGCAATTCTCTCAAGAAAACTGATTTTGTGGGTATTAATTATTCTCACAATGTTAAATGATTTGAATTAGGTTCAAGCATTTTAATTTGTTGATTGGTTTTTTATACCTGCTTGATTTTCACTTTCTTGGGTTTTAATTCATAAATAATATAAAGAGAAAATAATGGTCAAATATTATATATTACATAAAGTGACACTATGCTTTGATTTTATGTTCATATATTGTGAATATTATTAAATTGTAAAGATGAACCCTCACTTTCAACGATTTGCTGCAGAAAATTCAAATAGGTCAGATTTCTCCATACTGAAACAAAAGATTGTGTCCACATTAAAGTCAAAAGGCCCACATGGAAAAATACCATAATTAATCTTTTCCTTTTTTTTCTAACTTGAACCTAACTCATCCAGAGTTGTACGTGTTCTTTTGAAAAGGGTGTGATACCACCTAATATTAGGTCCGACAAGTAGTTCACGGACTACATCCCTACTCACCTAGTTCATGCACACCGCTCTCTCCAAAAAGTTGGCAGCCTATCCAAGATCTTTTCATTTTCAGGACTCGATCTAGTTTAGTATCAAAGTAATTTTGTTTATGATTCTATATATATGAGTTTGTGCAGTATTATTTCTACTCCAACTAAAAAATCATGAGTTCGAATCTTACCACGCACATGTCGTACTAAAAAAGTCTTGTTTAAAAAGAAAAAGCATCATAACTAATTCATTACTTTAATAATTTTCATTTATTTAATTTTCAATAACAATTTCACAGTTAAAATAATGGTTTTCAACTTTTTTTTTTTTACTTTGGATGTGTAATTGCTAACACTAGAATTTCATGGCTATATAAATAAAAGTTGAGTTGCTCCTTTTTTTTTTTCCCCTATAAATTAGAGTAGAGAGAGAGTTGGGAAATTGTTAAATTTCCACCAACTTATTAGATATCTTTTGGGTATTGACATAAATAATTGAATGATATTGTACCATAAAATATGGAAAAAATACAGAAAATATGTTAATAAAATATCGTAATATTAATGTTTTAAACTTATTTAAAAATATAAAATGTTTAGGATTTAGTTTAAATATTCTATACAAATCTCTTAATTTCTATAATTTTCTTTTGAAATAAATACAAATAAAACGAACAAAGAAAATTTCTATAATGGAATGTTCATTAACATTCTATCGACGTTTTCATTGACATTTTAAATAAAAATTTGAGACGTCAAGATTTCAATATCAATACTTAAAATCTTTTCTTAGTGTACAAGAAGTTATACGAAATAGAGAATTGAAGTTTTTAACCTAAAAGAAGATAATACGTGTTATTTATTGAACTACGTTTGAATTGATAGCATTTAGAAATTTATAAACACGAAGATGAGTTAGGGTTTTGACCGAATATCAAATGGTGTCGACTAGGAAGACATGGCATTTAGGGAAATTATTAGAGAAACTAAAAATTACTAGATTTCACCGTGCATCTAACGATTGAGAAGAGGTAGCCACGATATGACGACTGCATTAGATAATTTTTTGTGACGTTATTTGCACGCGAGGTGATCGTGGGCATTGAAGACTCGACCACGGATTACAAGTGGCAAGTGACACGTGGAAGAAGGGGCCAAAACCAAAGAAACTCCCTCCCAATAGGTCAAATTGTTTCCCCGTGACACACAGACAAAAGTCTTCAGATTCTCTTTTTAATGGGACCATTTGATTCAATTTGCATAAAAATGGCAACGGGACAGGATGGACTTGAGAATTAATTCTTCGCTTTCTAACTTCATTTTGTAACGATTTTTAGTTCTCGTTTCCATCGTATACTTGGAGAAATTGGGATCGGAGAGTCGGGAAATCTCTAAACATTGAGATATTAATATATTTTCGTTAATTATAATATTTTTCAATAATTTTTTAATTTCTTTATGAAATATTCATCATCGATATATTTTATCAATATATTTTCGTCAATATTTTCATGAAATCAAGACATTAATATTTCTATCGACATCGATATCAACGTCACATTTAAGAACTTTAAACAACATAACCCATCACACTTTGGTATTGCAAGAACATGCCACTAAAGTCAAGAAAGCAATTTAACATCATCTACACCATCATCAAATGGTCCTGGTTCTGGTTCTCAATAATTATTTAGTTTGTGATAGTTCAATTGATGCGATTAATTTAAAATTCCATTTAGAAATAAAAATTTTATGAAAATAGTTCCAAAAATTTCTAATGATTAATTAATCACGTCAAAATTATTGGCTTATTAACTGTTTCCAATTCCATCACCAAAGTTATCATATTGTTTAAAGCTATTTTAAAATTATTGATATTAATATTATGTTCACATTAGTTATATGCAGTTGATTATTATTCGTATTTTATCGATCTTTTTATAGTTTCTATGAAAATATGTCTATTTATCTTTTATATTAATGTCAAACCTATTAGACATATAGAAATGCGTAAAAAAATGTCAACATGTACCTGGAAATTTAACTGTAACTAAATATATACTTTATGAGCATTAAAACAAAACCATACATTTTATAAATTCATTTTGAAAACAAATAGATAAATGATGACCATAAAATACATATTATATAATAAATTAATTAATTAAAATAGGTGAATCTATT